ACATCACACGGAAGATATTCACCAAAATCAGCCATCCAACCAGATATACCTAAATCAATTAAATTTGTTCGTATAATATTCTTATACCATTCAAATGCTTGTGGATTAGTTAGATCAATAATTACTCCGTTAAATTCACCAAAATCTATTATATAAACTGTATTTTTACAATCAAATCGTTTAACAAGAAAATCTTTTTCATTTGCTTCTTTAAACAAAGAACCATCAACAGCAATGTATGGATTAATATAAGCTAAAAATCGACAACCATTATAATCACGTTGCCATTCAATAATTTTTTCTTTCAAATTCGGATACCAACTTTCATTCCATTGCCAATTCCAAAAGACTCGTTTACCAAATGATGTTATTCGTTTTCCACACCAATCTTGTACCCAAATACCAGCAATTCGTGTTCCACATTCATGCATTCTACGTAGTTTTTGATCAATCACATCGGTACCACCTTGCACACTTAAAATAATTCCATCATATATCCATTCTGGTAATGGTAAATATAAATGTGAAATTGGAGAAGGACCGTTTAGACTCAATTCCAACCGATAAGGAATAGCAGCAAAATGAAAATGATGGAATTTTTCATCAGAAAAATCAAATTGAGCATAGGCGGATCCATAGGCACAAAATGTATAACCACGTGATGAATGAAACATTGGTTGCGGATGATAAGTTGTATGTGACGAAGGACGAACATTTGGATTTATATTATCATTTGGACATAATAGATCATGATACCATTCTGATACCCACATTGGTAAAATTTTCCCTCTAAGATCACCACTAGAATATTGAAGACCACAACCACGTACAATTTCTTGATCGAATGGTAATGCTTCTAATGAAAACCATAAATTTGTTTGATCACTATCATCGATTGTATTCTCATTACGTTTAATAATTTCTTCACATTCGATTACTGATCGAATATAGTTTGATGTCGATGTTGAAGGAAATTCAATTTCTAATCGATTATTATTTATAATAAATTTCACTTGAAGATTGTATAATTTGGCTTCATCAGCAAATAAAATTTCATAGACTTGAGAAGGATTGATCTCATTTATAGTTTGTACTTGAAGACTTATTTTCTTCTGTATTACATGTCTGATGACGAAATGACCAAGACGCATATTGTATGATAATTGACATGTACCAACATAGAACAGAGGTTGTTCTGGTCTGTGTATAAGAATAGGTTGACCATGTAGACAAATACTAAAGCTATTGACTGGTTGCAGACAAAACTCCATTCTTTCTTTTTTTGTGTGTTTCAAACAACAGAAGACTCAATTCTTATCATCAGTCAATAAATATATGTATCTACTCTTATCTTTACTTTATTTCATAAAATCTAACGCTAAGTGTAAAGTTCATTTGAGATTTTGTTCCATCGATTCGATTAACGTTTCAATTAAACAATTAAATAATTGAAAAGTTCAAAGCCCTAAAAATAAAAAATACTTATTGACGAAAATAATATTCTCTTTTCTGAGAGAAAAGGTCTTACATTGAAAAAATGTATGTATGCTTGTCCGCTTCAGCCAATTAGAACTAAGCTTTTCCATTTTTCGGCGTTAAGACAGTTTAGTAATATTTTTCTACAGGTTATCAAAGGTCAGAAATCCGAATCTAAGGATGGATTAATCATTTGAACTTTCATTAGCCAAAAACTCAACTAATTAGAAGCGAATTTTCCATTTTTTTTCACCTTGTAGACGTTTTGATGAAACTTTGCCATAGATTACGGAGAGTAAAGTATCCTAATTGAAGGTGATCAAAAAAAAGTGAACTCGAAACTGCGTAAACTCGAAATTTCGAGCTCACGTTTCATTAGTCCATATCGTACCAATTAACATCAGATCACGTGTTATACTTTATAGTCAATAGTGGTTTTCAGCAATTTGAGCCATGGATAATGAGCATTATGTAACTATAAATGAATTAATTAATTAGTACTCATCTCAATTAATGCTGACATTAATTAGCACTCAACTAATTAGTACTAATCAGTTGAGTACTAATTAGAGTGAATACTATCTGGACATCATATCTGTACCATTTTAAGGCCTATCTGGAGACTATATCTGTAACTTTTTGAGGACTACCTGAACATTATATCTGCAACTTTTTGCGGCTTATCTGGACATCATGCATATCACTTTTTTTAGGCACTATCTGGACAAGATGCCTGTCTCTTTTTTGAGTTCTACGTTGGCTTGGTATCTGTAACTTTCATAGGCATACTTGTGAAATCCGTTGGATTACAGTTCGAACATCAAAGTTTTGAGCTAAAGACACTACCCTGTAGACAATTAATGGTGTTTAGGTCGTCATATACAAATGACGGACTAAAAGTATCTTACCACTTTGAGGATATTTGAAGACGTAAATAGAATGTTTCATGCGAGGTATCACAAGTTAATGTCCACGTCCAGGTGGCAGAAAGTTGAATAAGTTATTCCCCAAATTCGTGTTCAAATTTGAAAAAAAGTGAGAATGATCTGGTCGAAATCCATCTGTAAAAGTCGTGAAAACATTGGACTCTTTTTAGAGGATAGTTCTATCTGTAAATTTTTAAGTCCTTCTTGTGGATCATATGCGAATATATCTGATTCCAACCGGCACATAATATCGATAGCTTTATGATATTTTTATTGGTATGACACGGGCAATGTTTCACTCTGGGTTTGGACGGTGTACTTCGAACGTTTCGAACTGTTTCTCAGTATTCTATGCATGTTCATATTATTCTTGGCTTTGAAATATTGCGTAGATGTGTAGGTGACAACTTATTTTTACTATATTGAAAGTATCTTAGTCTTTGGAAAAGTTTTCGTACTGCTTGAAGTCGGATAAAATAAGTCAGGGTGTTGGTATGAGCGTGAGGTGTGGGTATAAGTTTAGTGTTGAAATGAACCCACATCCATATCTTCCCTAATCTCTAGGCTGATCAAGACAACACCATATTTTGTCCATACTGAAACTAAGAAAAACTTTGCTGAAATCTGCTTGACTAGAAGCTTATTCTTCTCGACCAATGAGATTTCGGCAAGCGTTTTTCACTATGTTAAGAGTAAAACATAGTGTTGTCAGAGCCTGTCAGAAGGTTTAGGGATCCTCTTTTATATGGCCTGAGCAACGCTGTATTTTGACTTTACAATAGTGAAGAAAACCATTGCTGAAATCTGACTGGTATAAACGAAAAGCAAGCGAATTCTTTACTATAATCAACTCAAAACATGATGTTCCTTGAGCCATTTAAAAGAGGAGTTCTCGAAACGCTCTGATCGACGCAGGCAACACTATCTTTTGCCCTTCCGATGATTGAAAAATTTATTCTGTCGGTACAGTAGGACCTAATTGATTACCAGATTTGGCTATGAAAATGCCAAGGATTTGTCAAGTGAAGGTCGAGTAATAAGGAATCATCCTATGACCGAAAGCGACGAGATCGAAATTTGTATAACAAGATAATGCGGCAATGACGTCGTAAACTTTCTTTTAATATTGCATAGTTGCGATCCCATCGATCCTATTAGATAATAGTCGTTAAAAGAGAAAAAACATGCACAAATCATACGCGCAGATGTTGTAAAAGCTTAAAACCAATATATGAGTGGAATTAATTTGATCTAAATGTTGATTTCACTTTATCGTATTAACCATCGGTCACAAAAATATTATCTGATGATTATCTTTCATCTTATTGATCTGTCAATAGTGAATACTTGATTATTGCATCGCTTTTATGTTTACAGCTTCAGATTCCAAAACACAATGCAGTGTCTTTGTTGGCATTTCGTATTGACGTTGCCACGGCTTTTCTTAAATCTAGTCCAGCGCTACACGTAGTAAAGAACGGTCGGGTATCTTTAAAATCGCTCTCAACCAAAAGTAATCCAGCAACAGCAGCAAGAAAAATATTGAAAAAGAAAAATAAGTTTTTCAAATTTTTAACCCTTTTCTGCCGGGTGTTGCCAAATGGCAACATCATGCCTATGGGTACAGAATTACTTTTTTTATATGAAATATATTTTTTTGTTATCTCCACGGTAGAGCAACAAAAAATATGTAGAAAAAAAATTCTTTGCTATCTGACTTCTAGAAACCGGCTGGAAAGGGTTAAAAGTGGATTTTTAAAAATTTTTGTACATGGGTTGCTATTATGATTTTGACTTCAAAGATTCTAGTTGTCTTACTGATGAATCCTTCTTAACAAGGGCGTTTTTTTTTATTATTCAATTCAACTATTTAACCAGTCTATTGTATATCAATGAACAAAAAAACCCATTGAGATAATTTTTCTAAAGATAAGTCTCAAGCTTAATTTTCGATGAATAATATGCATCATCAGACAGAAAAACAAACTGAATATTTAAAAGTTTTTTTTGTAAAAATAAATGAGAAGATAAAAAAAAAACAAATGCGTCTTATCTATTGCATAATTAGATCAACGAACTGTATACAACAATATATGTTTACTGAAAAAAGTAGATAGACAATTGGTCAATAACCTCATAAGACGAACACAAAATCATACAGAGTTGCATCATTTAATATAAACAAAAAATAAATTATAAAAATATAACTCGTTCTTTCTTCTACATAGTTTATTTATTCGAAATGATCATATATGAAATAATTTTGTTCTATTAATTATTGCACGAATTATATTCGGTCATAGTGTACGTAAAAAACAGTTTCGTTTTGTATTCATTACTCTAACCTATTCACTGAGTGAAAAATGTTGTTTGATAAAATACAAAAAAAAAAAAACAATTTAATGGTTCTTTTGTATAATGATCGATAAAATATTTTTTATTTATTTTCTGTCTATTTATTTGTTTTAACGTTTTCTCAAGTATCTTAATCAGAATGTTTGATTGTCGTTATGCATGAATGATTGAAAGAAAATAGAAGTGAAAAACAAAAAAAGTAAAATTTATTCAATATGTTCATAATTAAATAGCAAATAGTCAATGGCCACAATAGGATCAAATATTCTTAGTCAGAATCAAGTTGTTGAACTTCGGTAAAATTTTAATTTGATCTTATTTTTGAATATGATTGTTTTCTAACATTAGTTATTATGGTATACGTGTTTTTTCTTCTCTTCATGATCGTAGAAAATTACATGTAAATAAAAGTCTTGCTCGTTTAATTATTTTTCTTGGTTTATGTTTAATTGGAATAACAGCTGCAGATTTAAGTAAATTATCATCAACAATAACACAATCTGAACAATCAATTTGGCCAAGTTCTGGAAAAGGTATTTGGATTGGTTTATTTGTAATAGCTGTTGGTATTTTTACATTAATTGCTGTTAAAGAAAAATCACATGCATCATTTCATATATTACTTCCATATACAATTATAGCTATTCTACTTTGTTTTTTTGGTTTATTAACATCAATTGCTATTCTTCAACGTTATATTAAACATCCAATTTTATCTGATGAAATTAATAGAAATAAAGAACAAGAAATTCAATTTGTTCTTAGTGCTTTATTAATTGGAATATTTGCTCTTACTTTTCTATTTTTATCATGTCTTTCATGTATGATATGTTGGACAATACCTCATTTTTGTGATAAATATCAAGGTTCAATGCCTCAACCATTTTACCGATCAAGACCAAATTTACCAATAGAAATTCCTCTTCAACCACCACGAAGTCCTATTCAATCCATAATTATTCAATCATCACGTTATCGTAGACAAAGACCTTATGTAGTAAATGGCGCTGATCTTCCATCATAAATTATTTCCATTTTTCTCTTTTTTTCACTTAATGACATTATAGTGAAGTGCTATTGATTATTTTAGATTTTTTTTTTAAAGAATTCTAATAAAAGTTTCTCATTGTTAAATAATAATTGTTTGTTGAATACTATTCAAATATTATCTTGTAAACAATTTAATATCGAGAAATATCTTGATAATTATTAAATATTTAATCAAAATGATTTTTTTAAATATTTTTTTATTTAATCTCATTTAATATTAAGTATTCTATAATGAATCTCTCACTTAAATCTAATGGATTTATACAATTTTACTTTTTATTTTTGTTTAAATAATGTGAAAAGATGAATTAACAAACAAATCTTCATTCTAAAATATTAATCATATACAGACTTTAATCAATAATACAATTAAATATTTGCAATTATATTATAAATAAGTAAAAAGCATAATAGGATATTAAAATATAGATAGTAAACATCTAAACAAGACAATAGTGACATTCATATTAACATAGCATGGCTAATAATAAGATCCAATTGATTATTGCTCTAGAAACTATTAACAATATATTTTCATTTTCATAATATCAATCATAAATGTCCTTTCTCATATAAATCTTCGATATTTTAAAGTAAGAAGTATACTCAGTTTGTTATTATCATATTAGATAACAACAAGATTTAGTTGGTCATTGTTATTGAAATTAATAATAGAGTTGATTCACAACAGTCGAATACAATTTCGAAAGATTGTTTCTATTAAAACTGACTAGAACAAGATCCATTTTATATATATCTAACATTACGAAAATATATTCACTGTTGATGTTAGTGACATTGCTATTGTGAATTATCAACAACCATTGTTATACCATCGAAAATAGTTCAGCTACTGGAAATCTTCATTGTAGTAAATTTTCTTATTGAATCTGATGTCGTTATTTTCAGTAAATATAAATTAGTGAAAAACAATAGCATTATCATATAGTTCACAAAGCAAACATAAACTAGTAGTTGATCTAGAGTAACTAACATGCTCAGCCATGTGACCATGTCTGTAGAGAGGAGAATCAACCACCTTTTTGAACAGAGCTTAACTGATGGTAGGATAAGAGAGATTCAAAGTCTTCTAGGACGATTGAGTCCCCTCTAGTTTACGCTATTATTGACAACTTGTTCAAAAAACTTCTTCTTTTTAATGAGAGAAAATAATAAAATAAAAATAATTAATAATCATTTAGCATAGACTATGAAATAATCTAAATATCAATTTATTGATAATCGTATGATAGATACATATTTGATCATCAGAATAAGTAAATATTAATATCGTACGTTTATTTTCAAATAAATGAATATTGTGTTTTTGTCTCCTCTTGGTAAGGGTTAAATATTTCGATTTCAGGTAATGTTGATGTTAATATCGCTTTTTGTTTTTCTTCATACAGTTTTTGAAAAAAAAAATCATCTCATATGTTTTTGTTCAATATAAAAGTAATATTAAATTATTCGAGACAAGGAAAATGTAAAGAGAATCAAGAATCTTTCGATGATATTCGAGTAACTAAAGTCGAATAAATATACGTGTTAATATTTAAGTGAGATTAATCTTTCTTTCTTTTTTTATTCCATAATCACGAAATCTTTACAAAGTTTCGAAAATAACAGATGCAGTTTCATAATTAAAAAAAATGAGTTTGTTGGCATATGAAACGAGGATTTATTTTAAAAGAAAAAGGTTTGAACTAGTTTAAAAGAGAAGGATAAAAAAAGGAAACAATGATAAAAGAAAAACATTTGATTTAGTATAGAAGGATAAATGAATTTCTATGATTTATCGCAATTTTCCAATGCTTGTTTAACTTTATCAAAATCTGGAATTTTTCCTGGATCATCAAGTATTTCAGCATATTTAATTTTACCTTGTTTGTCAATAACAAAAGCACTTCGTTTTGTAACACCTTTAAGACCAAATAA